CCGCCCAAAGGGCTTCAGCCCGGATGGTCTCCATCTCCACGATGGCACAGCCTTGCTTGGAAGACCCAGCTCAATTGCCTGAGGACACAGAGAAGAAACTCACAGCACGGCTCTGTCTCTGAGAATCGGTGTTGATGATATCCTCGTCATGCCCCCCGATGCCCAAGACAAGTCCTACGCTCCGCTCTGCACAGGCAGACAACTGCCAATCACACTTCGGCTTCTCCAGAAAATAGATTACTGCAGGAGGCCGTGGGAGGGTGGACTGGGCTCTGGATTTGAGACTTTACCTAGGTTTTGTGGCTTAGCCTGCCCGGAAAGGAGCTTCTCCCCTGTGCACCTTCAGTTACCCATCGTTCCAGCATCAGTTAGAATGTGAGCTGCATCCCTGTGTAGCTGTCCCGGGATTCAGAGGGCCACACCCACAAGGGTCATAGCTCTTCCCTCTCTTATTTCCCAAGTCCTGAAACGCAACTCTTTCCCACTTGCCTCCCCTTCCTATAATAAGCCCTGAACTGGGCAGGCTGACCAGCTGTGCCAACCTGCAGGGTTTTAGCAAGAGGGGCAATAAACCTACCCTCAGAAGTGAAGCTGTCATCTGGGAATCTGCTTTAGGAACAGAGCTAAGGAGCTGTTGAAACTTCCCACCGAATTATCTTTAAAGGTTAAAAAAATTATCACAAGACCATTGTGCATATTTGTGGGGGCACAGTGTGGGTTTTTTTTTTTTAAAGATTTATTAATTTATTTAGAAGGGAGAGAGAGAGGGAGAAAGAGAGAGAGAGAGAGAGAATCTTCCCTTTTTTGGTTCACTCCCAAATGACTGCAACAGTCAGGGCTGGGATAAACCAAAGCCAGGAGTCTGGATCTCCATGCTGGTCTCCCATGTGGGTGGCAGGGGCCCAAGCACTTGGTCCATCCTCCACTGTTTTCCCAGGAGCATTAGCAGGCAACTGGATTGCAAGTGGAGCAACCAGAACTCCAACCCCTCTCATATGGGGGTGGGGGTTGGAGTCCTGGTTGCTCACAACTTATCTCACCCCTCATGTTGATATTATTGGTCACCCCTTTCTCTCGCTGTTTTTCTTCTATGTCCCTGGTAGTTCTGTAACAGGCTCATCTTCCTTATCACGGCTGCTCAGTGCCTGGCTCTAGGCCCTCTTCTCACACACTACACTACACTGTCTCTCCATGGCCTAGGCTCACTCGTCCACACCCTAGGCTTTAGGTCACTCCTTTGGTCAGTGATTCATCTCTTACCTAGCAAGCCCCAGCCGTGTCAGTACAACTGCCAACTAGGCAATTCTTTCGGGCATATCAATAGTGGTCAGACCACCAGCGAATCTGCTCTCATGATCTTCCCCCCGCCGCACTGGGCCTGCTCCAAGAGTCCCACATTGCAGGATCAGCACCAGCTTCTATCCTTGGCCACAGGCCAGAAGCCTACGAGAGTCCCAAGATGATCCCCTCTCACCCACCACTTGCAAAACGTGCAAGCTGTGCACACTGGATGTTCCAACAGTCCTCCGGTCCTTCTACTTACTGTTTCCATGACAACAAGCCTAGACTGGGTCTCCACCTTTTGCTATCTAAGTCACTCCTACAATCAAGTGACTTCCTTCCAATAGGACCTTTCTTTTCGTTACAGCGAGAGAAGGAGAGATGAAGTGAGAAAGATAGAGCTTCTATCCACTGGTTCATTCCCCAAATGGCTGCAACAGCTGGGGTTGGGCCAGGCTGAAGCCAGGAGACAAGAGTCAGAGGCGTCATCTAGGTCTCCCATATGGGTGCAGGGGCCCAAGCACTTGGGCCATCTTCCACTGCTTTCCCAGGTACATTAGCTGAGAGCTGGATCAGAAGTGGAACAACCGAGACTTGAACTGGTGTCCATATGGGATGCTGGTGCTGCAGGCTATGGCTTAACCTGCACACCACAGCACAGGCCCCTAATAGGACTCTTTTCAAGATGTCATTCTGAGGACATTCTGAGCTGTGGATCACTTGGTTAATCCTCCACCTGCGACGCTCGCATCCCATATGGGCACCGGGTTTTAGTCCCGGTTGCTCCTCTTCCAATCCAGCTCTCTGCTGTGGCCCAGGAAGGCAGTGGAGGATGGCCCAAGTGCTTGGGTGCCTGCACCCACAGGGGAGACCAGGAGGAAGCACCTGGCTCCTGGCTTCGGATCAGCGCAGACCAGCTGTAGCGGCCATTTGGGGAGTGAACCAATGGAAGGAAGACCTTTCTCTCTGTCTCTCTCACTGTCTATAACTTTGCCTGTCAAAAATAAAAAATAAAAAAAGATGTCATTCTGACTATGCCACTCCCCCCAACCACCCCCACCCCCACTGCAGAACCTGTCAGAAAGAAAGACCTTCAGCAGGGCCAGTATGGCTGTACTAGGCGTGGGGTTTGTTATACCCACAGTATAACAAAGACCCAAATCACCCTTCACTCTGTCTAATGATGAACAGATGTTAAAATAATCTGGCACATTTCTCTTTTTAAAAAATTTACTTATTTATTTGAAAGGCAGAGTTACAGGGAGAGAGAGAGAGATCCATCTGCTGGTTCACTCCCCAGATGGTCGCAATGGCTGGAGGTGGAGCTGTGCCAGTCCGGACCTAGGGATCCGGAGCTTCTTCTGGGTCTCCCATGTGCATGCAGGGGCCCAAGCACTTGGGCCATCCTCTGCTGCTTTCCCAGGCCATTAGCAGGGAGCTGGATGCGAAGTGGAGCAGCCAGGACTCGGACAGGAGCTCATATGGGATGCCCGCATCGCAGGCAGCAGCTTTACCGCCTAAGCCACCGCGCCGGCCCCTGGCACATTTCTTTCCAGTTTTTTCCCCCTAGGTACTAGGCAGTACTGACACGGATCACTCCGTGTATGTGGGTGTCCTTGTTGCTTCTTTGTCTTTCCCAATTTGGTAACACTTCCTCGAACACATTCCTAAAACGTGCTCTATAGCACGCCTGACAGTAACGCAGGTGCCTTCCTCCTGTTGTTGGGTCTTTAAGGACCTGTCAATTTCTCTGAGGAGCTTCAGCTGTAAACCCGGCAATGCAAGGAATCCGGACTAGGTGCGTTTTCAGAAAACAAACAGGAGGCTAATAAAGGCCTTGGATTTGCCTCCGGACGCCGGGCCCCAGGCGGGTGTCCTCAGTATGCAGAGTCCAGTCGGTCACGGTAACCGGCTCCGGTCTCCCAGGTGTGCGCCCAAGTGGGTGCACCTGCTCGCCGGGTTGGTATGACCTTCCACGCCCGGGGCGAGGAGCCCTGCAGGTGCAGGCGCGCATCAGCGGACCGCCGCGGGGCAGCCGCCACCCGCCCGGGCCACGCGCCGCCACGTGCCGCCACCGGGACCCCGCCCGCACCGGCCCGCGGCCACGCCCCTCGCACGCGGCTGTCGGGCGGCGCTCCGGGGGCTCCTCCTCCTGGCGACCTCCGCGGCGGGTAGCCCCGCCCCCGGGCCGCGGCCCCGCCCCCGCAATCCGGGCCCCGGGGCGCCCCGCCCCGCGGGCCGCTCGGAGGCGCGGGGGGCGGGGCTCTGCGCGATGACGTGGGCGGGCGTGCGCGGTGACGGCCCGCGCGTCCCTGTTACTCAGCGGAGCGGCCGAGGCCGGACGACGCAGCCTGGAGCGCGGAGCCGCGAGCTGCGCTGGGTAACGGCCGCGGCGACCGCCCGGACGGCGCCCGTGCCCGCCGGCGGGCTTCCCCGTCGCTGTTCGCCGCGCTGCCGGGTGAGTGTGGCGGGCGCCGCGGCTGCCGGCGGCCCCGCCGTGTTTATGTTATTGTGCGGCCGCCGCCGCCTTCTCCTCAGCCGTGAACCCCTCCCCGGGCGTGGGGGCGGGCGCGCGCGGCGGGCGGGGGCGGCGCGGGAACAATAGCGGCCCCGGAGGCGGGGGCGGCCGCGGGGGGCGTGGGGCCGCGGGCGCCGGACGCGCGCCCCGGCTCGGCGCCCCGGGTCGGCTCGGCCCGGCCCGGCCCGGCCCGGCCCGCGCGCGCGCGTCGCTGTCGTCGCACGCCCTCCTCGCGGGGGTCCCGCTTGCGCGTCGGGAGGAGAAGATGGGGGTGGGCGGCAACTTGGGAAGCACTTGGGCGAAGGGGGCCCGGGCGGCCCGCGGCGCGCAGCCGACTCCCGGGCGCCGTGGGCCGGCGCGCTGGCGACAGGGTCCGCGCGCCCGCCCCGGCGCCCACGGGGACCGTGTGTGTGTGCGCGTGTCGCTCGGCGAGGTTCCTTTGTGCGCGGGCTTCCTAGTCGAAGGCGGCCTGGGGGAGGCCAGGCCCCGCGGCCCGGGCGTGGAGGGTGCCCCTCGATCCCGGCCCCGAGCCTGCGTGGCCAGCGCGCGTGTCCCCGCTGCGGGTCACTTCGGTGGTGACCTCTGGGCTGCTTCTCCCCACCGTGCCGTCGCTTTGTCTGCGCTGGCGTTCCCGACCCCCGGCGGGTGGTGGAAGCGAGGCCGCCTTGGACACTGTGGCGTCTTCAAGTTCCCCCTCGCGTCTGTACTGTGCGTGGATCGCCGTGTTGACCGCGCGGTAGGAGACAATGTCCGGTGGTCGCTGTTTGTAGATGCGGTGGTCTTTCCGGTGGAATTCTGGTCTGTCAGCTAAGCATCCAGTGCCTGCTTGGCAGCGAGAACATCCGTGTGTGTGTGTGTGTGTGTGTGTGCGCGCGCGCGCGCGTGTGTTCCATTCATTCATTCATTCATTCATTCGGCAGCTGCTCCCTACTGCGCCCACAGGGGAGAGGTTTGCATGTAAAGGGAAGACGGCCCTCAGTGGAGGAGGAAGCCTTGGTTGCAGTGTAGCAGATGTGCCTTTAAATGAGATGGTTATATAAGCGATGCGTGTGTGGAGGTAGAGTTGTGCGCTGGGTCATTTTACTAGTTTTTAACAGAATCTCTGGAAGTTTAAGTAAAATGTTATACGAGGAGATAGTTATCTTTGATCTAAATCCACAATAGGTTTTACTTTCAAAAAATTTTTTATTTTTTTGCCCAGTCTTCGAGCCCTGTGGTCATTTGGGATGGCTGCCTCAGACCCGGCCGCCGCGGTTAACGTGAAACCCAGGAGGTCCGAGGCTGTGGTGCTGAGTCTGACTAAAGCCTGGGACTTCCTGGAGAGCAGGCCTGTCTTCCATCTGTTTCTCTTTTTCTAGCCGGGGAAATAGTAAGTGCTCAATACAACTTTTATTAACGTTCATATGGTTTGCGGAAGGTTCCTGCGATAGCCAAACGATCGGTTTCATATAATAGGAGATGGGTTATGGGCTTTTGAGTCACTTTGGTGTCATTCCCCCCCATCCCCCCCCACCCCCCGTCACTTCTAGGCCATCCACTATCCTAAAATAAAACCTTGTCTAAGTGTTTTCTGGTGATTCATAAAGTAAGTTGGATTGTAGGGGCCAAGGCGTGTCGTGTACGTGTACACACACACAGAGTGGTATTTTAGTAGGAGGCTGAAATGATTGCGTTTATCTTCTTGTAAGTATTGAGAGGTTTTTGACTACTTCTTTCAGTAGAAAAGCTAGAAAAAAGGATATAGACTGTGTAAATGTTTTATTAGAAATATGTAACTTCTAATAGGATTTTAGAAGCATTAATTGGAAATGTTTAACTCCTTATATTAACACTTCATGACGCATGTGGGACTAAAACTCAAAATAATACCTAATTATTCAAGTTATAGCTGTTTCCCACTCACTGCTAAGTACATTTTCACATTTGTTTTGATATGAAAGAAGTTGAGGTGAACTTACTGTTTGATGTCTAGTAGAAATGAAGAAATAATAAAGTGATACTTTATTAAAATACGGAATGATAATCTTGAGATACCAAATTTTAATTGCTTTACCAAGTTAGTCAGATGTCAGGATCCAGTAGGGCTTACTGATAAAAACCCTTTGGTCAGGCAATTTAAAGAACTAGAGTTGTGGCTGCTTTTTTTTCCCTAAATTTTTTTTTAATAGCATTCTTTACATTTAATTCACATATCATAAAATTCATCCTTTTAGAGTGTTCCATTTCAGTGTTTTTTTAGTATGTTCACAAAGTTATATATTGATCACTGCTTTTAAATTCCAGAGTATTGTCATCAGCCAGGGAAGAAACCCCATGCCTATTAGCAATCACTCAGCATTTGAAAAATGTTTTAAAGGGAGAGATGGCGCTGCTTCTGTTAACTAAATCCATGCCTTTAATGACTTTGGAAAGGGCACCTTTGAGTGTCCTGGAGGAACAGGAAACTGTCCTTCATACCTCTTCACATTGGAAAAGGACTCAGAGGAAGAGTAAATTGTATCAAAATTAATTCACCTAGAATCTTCAGTATACCCTTACTTTATATTACGGAAATGACCTGTGGTGATCCACAGTGTTTAGTGAAACAACTTGAAGTAATTTGTTATTAAATGACTAGTCACAAACTATCCTGGTGGTAATTAAGGTTGTTGAGTAGGCGCCTGCCTCGGTTGGGGCTTTGCCATCACGCTGAGTTTTGACATATTTGAGTCATCTGCGTGGTTGAGATGCTTTGTTGCACGTGTGGAAGAATGAAATAGTGTCTGGCTTTAGGATGCCGGCTCTCTCGAGGTCTCTGGTCAAGTCCTTGGTACGGGCAGTAGCCTTTCTGATTCATGTAATGCAAGGAAGTCATTATAACCGTGTAACTTTAGATATGAATCATTTGCCTATTTTAGTGAGCTGTGATGCTTATTGTCTTAGTCATGAACTCTTTACCTGAATATTTAGAAGCTTTGCATTCTTACGCTAATGCAGGTTAACTTGAATTTGATTTCAGAAATGAGTTCTGATTCAACAGATTTTACTACCTGAAAGTTGACAAGAGTATTGAAATAATATGGTCTGGGAGCAGACCTAGGTTCACTTGTTACTTAGCTGACTTTGGAGTCTTAAGCAAGGTGGTTCTACAACTATAAACTGAGGCTGTCGGAATGCCTTTTTTTTTTTTTTTTTAAATAGAAGTTTGTTCCCAATTAGGTGTTTCTTCAGAAAGAAGCTGGGGTCCAGAACAGCAGTGAAAGTTAGGCTTCTGTTAGTTGTTAGCAGAGAACATTGTTGAGTTAGCCAGACTAGAAAAGAAAAGCATAACCATAAGCTCAAGATTGTTATTGTTTTAATGGTAGATTCTGTTCATCCTACAACACCATGCTTTCTAAGGAGACTTGCTGCTCTCAGAGACTTTGTGAAAGAAATGAAAATGGAGGTTCACTAGCCGTAAGAAGCTTATGATCAAGGATGGAATATGAGCCATATCTAAGCAGTGGACTTGTGCTCTGAAAAGATGTGTGAGGCTTCCCTCAAGCAGAGAACCCACTACAAATCTCTAGGCAGGCCAGATTTCACTGAAACCCAGGTTTTCAAAATTGTATCTGATACTTTTGAAAATCTTACTAGCTACTATTTTTCAAGGTATTGGGTTATGTCATACATGTGACATATGTCTGTGTCTACTGTTAGCTTTTACTTGTACACCAGATTGGGCTAAAACTGGCCAATTCTTGAAGAAGTTGAGGGACCCAAACCTCACAGTGATCGCTCATATGGACTAGGGCCATTCCCAAGTTCCAGTCCATGATCCCAGTGGTGTGGCTGGTTTAGATTAATTAGCACATTTGGACCTGTTGAATTAACCTAGGGCTGTGAGTTTTAAATAAGGTGTTGCATTTGCAGGTGCCTGGCGCCGATGCCAGGCCTACATGGTAGATGTTAAGTGTTCAGGACATTTTTAACTATTGTTATCACTTAGTATTTTTAACTTTGAACAAATGCAAAATGTCAAGTAAATTTAAAACCAACTTGACTCTCAGTGTACATCGTAATCCTACAGAAGAGCATGCCAGTTGTTTCCCTTTGCAGCTCTGGGAGGTTTATTTACAGTTTGATCATCTCATCTAATCTGCATTGTCTGAGATGAATTATGTTAATATTTGGGCCTGCAGTCCTCCCTGCTTTAAAATACAGAAATGTTCCAAAAGCAGAGATTGAAGGGAACGTATTTGCCATGACCTCTAATACACAGTTGTTGGCCTTTCCAATAGCAGAGAATTGCCTAAACTTTCCTTGGTTTATTTTCCAGATATTCCAAGGAATGGCAATCCAGGAGCTGAGAATAGCTATATCATGTAACACATTTGAAGAAAGTGGAATGCCAAGACAGCTTACTTTTTTTTTTTTTTTTTAATTTGACAAGCAGAGTTAGAGAGAGAGGTAGAGACAGAGAGGTCTTCCATCTGATGGTTCACTCCCCAGATGGCCGCAACGGCCAGAGCTGCACCAATCCGAAGCCAGGAGCCAGGAGCTTCTTCCAGGTCTCCCACTTGGGTACAGGAGCCCAAGGACTTGGGCCATCTTCTACTGCTATCCCAGGCCATAGCAGAGAGCTGGATCAGAAGCAGAGCAGCCCGGACTAGAACCGGCACCCATATGGGATGCTGGTGCTTCAGGCCAGGGCATTAACCCACTGAGCCACAGCACCGGCCCAAAGACATCTTAATTTAATCTTATTGGGATATTTGACCCCATAAAGATTACAGATGTGTCAGAAACTTGGTAACCACAACAGTTCACTAAGCATTTTCTAGACCCCTCTAGAAAAACAAGGGAGATTATTTGTTAGTAGCACTAGAAAGATTATCTTTTTGTTGTTCTGAGTTTCTGTGTAGCGTTTCTATGGTTATAATGATACCTTTTTTTGTCCTTCCTTGAGGACAGTAACTGTGAAATAATAGTGGCTTTACATGGCAGTATTTACTTAGAAACCAGATATTAAGTGATGTGGGAGCCAGATGATGGAAGGTTGTGTTTACCTTTAGTGATCTGAGTATAATTTGGTGGTAGATAAGGGTAAACATAAGTATGTTTATGTTACAGCACGAGGGATCAAATCCTGTTAGTCATTTCACTGAGACTATTTTGCCATAGGGCGTTTGAGGACGTCTTTTGCTCTGCATTTTAAAATATATTTTCTAATCTCAGGTTAAAATTGAGAGTGTGGTGTAGATTAGTCAAAATCCAGATCATAAGAATAAACCTTGTAGTTACCTCAATTCACTTTGAAATACAACAGAATGTTCAGATAAGTATGTAGAAAGCAGATAGTAGAAAAGATACTATTCACATACTAACTGCAATGCTCAAATCTTTTGTATTGAGACTGAAGACGTAAGGCCAGATCTGTGTTTAGGAAAAAAAAAAAAAGTTTCTATCTACTTGAAAGAGACTAACACACACACACACACACACACACACAGGCTGATTGGTTTTCCATCCTTTCCCCAAATGCCTGAAGACAGCCAGGGCTAGGCCAGACGAAAGCCTGGAGCCCAGAGCTTCATCCTGCCACGTGGGCGGCAAGGGTCCAAGCACTTGGGCCTCCCAGGTGCATTAGCAGGAAGCTGGACTGGAAGTGGAGTACTTGGCCCTCCAGTATGGCATGTGGGCATCCCAAGTGAAGGCTCTTAATCCATTGAGCCACAACGCCTGCGCCTAGGAGTACTTTGTTAAGTTTTCTCCAGTATTGAGAAGTAAGGACTTATCAGCTTCCTGGTGCTGAAAGATCCAAGAGTGGCACTCAGCATATTTCTGGGGCTACCAGGAAGGGAAAACAGCCACACACCTGTTTTGCTTGGCAGGAGACATCCGACATCAAAAACAATGGGGAATTACTGTTTCTCAGAAGCTATTAATTGGGTAGAAACTCAACCATTTCCTAACTTGTTGCACAGAGGATCAGTCTCTGCAGTGGGTCAGCCGAAAATGAGATAAAGAAAAGCTGCCAACCATGTAGACTTCCTTGTGACTTGAGAGTCAGGTTTGGTGATCTGCTTTATTTTTGTGTGGACAGAGTAGTGGGACATTCACTTTAATTCAGAATTCCAAAGGTTTAAAAAATCAGAAGTCTGCTTTCCAGTCTGTGCCAGCTACCCAGTTCTTCTCCTAGCAAACAGTGTTAAGTTTCCTGTGAATCCTTCCAAAGATAGTTTATGTATGCACAAGTAAATATGGATATGTGATCCCTTGTCCAAAACCCTTGGTCCAGATGTATTTCAAAGTTAAGGTTTCTTTTTTTAGAATTGTAGAAACACAATACTGTATGGTACATCTGCCATGTTATCCGGAAGCCCTGGTAGCAGATAGCATCCCACAATC